TATACAGCAGTAGAAAATGAACTCATCATATCATTTAACATTGCAGTGCAATGTCCCTGACATCTTTATCCCATTGCCTTGCTTTATTTCTCTCCTTAGCACTCACTACGTCTGACACTCTATATTTTGTACTTGTATACTGTGTTTATCAACTCTCCACCCTCACTGAAATGTAAGTTCTGTGCAAATAGATATTTCTGATTACTTTTTCACTGCTATAAAGCTAGAGCCTAGAAAAATGCCTTCACATAGTAAGTCAATAAATATTTGTTGAACGCACAAATAGATGGATGACATTTAACTGAGATAGAGGTTGCCAAAATGGCCAGCAGTAATATTATTAAAATTTTTTATTGACGTATAATTTACTTAAATTTACAGTATGACATTAGTTTCAGGTGTACAACATAGTGATTCAATTTTTTAGACTATACCCCATTTAAAATTATTACAAAATAATGACTATATTTTCCTGTGCTGTACAGTATGCCTTTCTTTCTTATTTGTTTTATACACAGTAGTTTGTATCTCTTAATCCCGTACCCCTGCCTTGCCCCTCTCCCCTTCCCTCTCTCACTGGTAACCACTAGTTCTCTATGAGTCTGCTTCTGTTTTGTTATATTCTATCTTTGTTATGTCTTTTAGATTCCACATGGAAGTGATAACATACGATATTTGTCTTTCTCTGACTTATTTCACTAAGCATAATATCCTCTAGGTCCATCCATGTTGTTGCAAAATCGCAGACTTTCATTCTTTTTTATGGCTTATTACTGTTGCTAAAAAATATTGCTATGATTTATGTCAAAAAGTGGTCTACCTGGGCTTCCCTGGTGGCGCAGTGGTTGAGAGTCCGCCTGCCGATGCAGGGGACACGGGTTCGTGCCCTGGTCTGGGAAGATCCCACATGCCGTGGAGTGGCTGGGCCCGTGAGCCATGGCCGCTGAGCCTGCGCGTCCGGAGCCTGTGTTCCGCAACAGGAGAGGCCACATCAGTGAGAGGCCTGTGTACCGTAAAAAACCCAAAAAAAACAAAAAACGTGGTCTACCTATGTTCTCTCCTAGGAATTTTATGGTTTCAGGTCTTACATTTAGGTCTTTAATCCGTTTTCTGTTTTTACACATGATGTGAGAAAATGTTCTAATTTCATTCTTTACATGTAGCTATCCAGTTTTCCCAGCACCACTTATGGAAGAGACTGTCTTTCTCCATTTTATATTCTTGCCTCCTTTGTCATAGATTAATTAACTGTGAGTATGTGGGGTTTTTCCTGGGTTCCCTATTCTGTTCCATTGACCTATGTACCTTTTTTTTGGTACCAGTACCATGCTGTTTTGATTACTGTAGCTTTGTAGTATAGTCTGAAGTCAGGGACCATGATACGTCCAGCTTTGCTCTTTTTTTTTAGATTTCTTTGCCAATTCAGAGTCTTTTGTGGTTCTAAATAAATTTTAGGATGATTCGTTCTAATTATGGGAAAAATGTCATGAGTACTTTGATATGGAGTGCATTAAATCTGTAGATTGCTTTGGGTATATGGACATTTTAACAATATTAATTCTTTAAATCCAAGAGCATGGGATATCTTTCCATTTCTTTGTATCATCTCAAATTTCCTTTATCAATATTTTATAGTTTTCACCTCCTTGGTTTATTCCTAGGTATTTTATTCTTTTCGATGCAATATTAAACAGGATTGCTTTCTCTCTTTCTCTTTCTGGTAGTTTATCGTTAGTCTGTAGAAAGCAATAGATTTCTTTATATTAATCTTGTATCCTGCCACTTTACTGAATTCATTTATTAGTTCTAATAGCTTTTTGATGGAGACTTTAGGGTTTTCTATATGTAGTATCAAATCATCTGTAAATAGTAACAGTTTTACTTCTTTTCTTGCAATATGAATGTCTTTTATTTAACTCTTCTTTTGCATGACTGCTTTGGCTATGACTTGCAATACTGTGTTAAATAGAAGTGGTATTAGTGGGCATCCTGTCTTGTTCCTGATTTTAAAGGAAAGGCTTTCAGCTTTTCACCACTGAGTATGATGTTAGCTGTGGTTTGTCATAAATGGCCTTTATTATATTCACATGTTCCCTCTGTACCCACTTTGATGAAAGTTTTTATCATGAATGGATGTTGAATTTGTCAAATGCTTTTTCTGCATCTTTTAAGATGATCTTGTGATTTTTATCCTTTTTATTAATGTGGTATATTACACTGATTTGTGTGTATTGAACATCCTTGCAGCTGTGGAACAAATCCCACTTGATCATGGTGTATGATCCTTTTTACACACTGTTGAATTTGGTTTGCTAATATCTTGTTGAGGATTTTTACTTCTATATTAATCAGTGACATTGGCCTGTAATTTTCTTTTTTTGTAGTGTCTTTGTCTGGTTTCGGTATGAGGGCCTTGTAGAATGAGTTTGAGAGTATTCCCTGCTCTTCAATTTCTTTGGAATAGTTAGAGAAGGATAGTTTTTTGTTTTTTTTTTAGCTCTTGTTTATATGTTTGATAGAATTCCCCTGTAGAGCTATCTGGTCCTAGACTTTCGCTTGTTGGTAGGTTTTTTTGTTTGTTTGTTTTTTTTCAGATTCAATTTCACTACTAGTGATTGGTCTCTTCAGGTTGCTATTTCTTCCTGATTCAGTCCTAGAAGTTTGTATGTTTCTAGAAATTTGTCTTTTTTTTCTAGGTTGTTCACTTTGTTGGTATAGAACTGCTTGCAGTATTTTCTTTTTTGTGTGTGTGTTTCTGTGATAATGGTTGCTATTTCTCCTCTTTCATTTCTTATTTTGCTTATTTGGGTCCTATCTTTTTTTCTTGATGAACCTGGCTGTAGATTTATCAGTATGCCACTAAAATAACCAGTGGGTCAATGAAGAAATCAAAGAGCAAATCAGAAAATATCTCGAGACAAATGAAAATGGAAACACAACTTTCCACGGGTTTGTGTTTTCCCATTTTTCTTCTTGTAATTGATTTCTAGTTTCATACTGTTGTAGTTTGGGAAAAAAATGCTTGATATCATTTCTGTCCTCTTAAAATAGCATGTGATCTATCCTGGAGAACTTTCCACATGCACTTGAAAAGAATATGTATTCTGGTGGTTTGGGGTGGAATGTCCTATAGATATCTATTCAGTACAACTGGTCTAATGTGTCAATATAAGACCACTGTCACCTTACTGATGTTCTTTAAGGATGCTCTGTCCATTGATGTATGTGGGATGTTAAAGTCCCATGCTATTATTGTATAATTGTCAATTTCTCCCTTCATGTCTGTTAATATTTGCTTTATATATTTAGGTGCTCCTGTATTGGGTGCATATATGTTAATAAGTATAATATACTCTTCTTGTATTGATCCCTATGCCATTATGTAATGCCCTTCTTTGTCTTTTGTTACAAACTTTGTTTTAAAGTCTATTTTGTCTGATTTGAGTATTGCTACCCCTTCTTTCCTGTTGTTTCTATTTGCATGAAATATCTTTTTCCATCTTCTCATTTTCAGTCTGTGTCTTTAGCTCTAAAGTGAGTCTCTTGCAAGCACCATTTAAATGGGTCTTTTTTTTTTTTAATCCAATCAGCCACCCTATGTCTTTTGATTGGAGCATTTTTTTAATCCAATCAGCCACCCTATGTCTTTTGATTGGAGCATTTAGTCCATTGGCATTTAAAATAATTATTGATAGGTATGTACCTATTGCCATTTTGTTACTTGTTTTCTGGTTGTTTTTCTAGTTCTTATCTGGTATTTTCTTCTTTTAATTTCTTCTGGTTTGATGATTTTCTTTATTGGTATGCTTGTGTTCCTTTCTCTCTAGTTTTTGTGTCACTATTGTGGCATTTTGATTTGTGGTTACCATGGGGTTAGTATATGTTGACATATGACTATAGCTACTTGATTTAAGCTGAATAATCATTTAAGTTTAAGCACGTTCTAAAAGATCTGTTTACCCCTTCCCCCACATTTTGTGTTTTTGATGTCATATTTTACAATTTCATGTTTATCTCTTTAGTGATTATTTTAGTTATAGTTGATTTTATGGGTTTTTTTTTTTTTGTCTTTTAATCTTCATACTAGCCTATTTAAGTGGTTGTCCTAGCCTTTACTGTGTATTTGCCTTTACTAGTGGGATTTATTCCTTTCCTATAGGTACTTACCTTTTATTACAGACTTTTTCACTTATAGAAAATCCTTTAACATTTCTTTTAGAGTTGGTTCAGTATTGATGAATATTTTAAATTTTTGCTTTCCTGAAAAGTTCTTTATCTCTCCTTGTATTCTAAGTCATAGTCTTGCTGGGTAGAGTATCCAAGGTTGTATGTTTTTTCCCTTTCAACACATAATATATGTGATGCCACTCCCTTCTGGCCTGCAAAGTTTCTGCAGAAAAATCAGTTTATAATTTTATGGGGTTCCCTTGTACATGGCTCTTTGTGGTTCTCTTGCTGCCTTTAGAATTCCCTCTTTAATACTTGCCATTTTAATTATAATTATGTCTTGATGTGGGTTTGTTTGGGTTCATCTTGTTTGGGACCCTCTGTGCTTCCTGTACCTGGATATCTTGTTTTCCTTCCTCAGGTTTGGGAGGTTTTCAGCCATAATTTCATCAAACATTTTTGACCTCTTTCTCTCTTCTCCTTCTGGGAGCCATGTAATGTGAATTTTAGTATGCTTGATGTTGTCCTAGAGGTCCCTTAAACGCTTCTCTTTTTTTAAAATCTGTTTTTCTTTATGCTGCTCTGTCTGGGTCCAATATTCTATATTCTAGATCATGTATGAGGTCTTCTGTATCACCTAATCTATGTTAATCCCTTCTAGTATGTCTTTCATTTCAGTTATTGTATTTTCAGTTCTGACTGGTTCTTTTTATATTTATCTCTAGTTCTAGTTCTTTGTTTAAATTCTCACTGTGTTCATTTATTCTTTTCCCTAATTTAGTTAGCATTCTTATTTACAATGCTTTGAACTCTTTCTCTGGTGAATTATTTATTTCTGTTTCATTAGTTGTTTTTCCAGCAGTTTTTTCTTCTTCTTCCAATTGAAACAAATTCCCTGTCTTATTTTGCTTAACTTTCTCTGTCTCTATCAAATTAGGTGAAAAAGTCACCTACTGCAGTCTTGAAGGGTTGTTCTTATGTGGGAATATCCCTATACAGTCTGCATGTGCCCAGTGGCTTTGGTGGGAGACATGGATCTGACATGAGCATGAGTCATGTCTTTCCCTAGGGTGCTATCACCTGGCTAGGAGGTAGGGCTGGAGATGGAGTGGCTAGAGCTAGAGCCAGGTATGAGCCAAGGCTTTTCCTCTGCTCAATAGCCAGCACCACCCTATTGGGGATAGGGGTAGGTAGTAAGTTGCTGGAGCAGAAGCCCTGAGGGTGGGTCTAGGCTGGCTCCATTCCCTTTAAGTGTGTGGTCTCTCCCCTCCTAGCACTGGCACCCTCACCCTAGAGAGGAGCAGTGCTGGAGCAAAAGGGGCTGGTGCAGGTGTTTGGCATGGGTTTGAGCGTGGGTTTTGGTGGCCCTGGCTGCTGTCAGGGCCCAGGACCATTTCTGATAGCTGCCTCAGTAAGCATCAGTAATGGCTGCCCTCCCACCAGCTGAGATGCCACTTCAAGCCTGAGTTGCATTGTCCCTCACGATGGAGCCTCTCCCCTTGGCCCCTGTAGCCCTTGCCCTGTGTGGACCTGCATGGTGAAGCAAGTGGGACCAAAGCGGGCACTCAGCTCAGGCTGAGGTGCCTGGGCAGTTGCAGGAAACTGGCCAATGTCCTGTGCAGTTTCAATTCACCCTCTGTACCTTGCGTCGGGAGTAACGAAGCATGCCTGTGTTCCTCATGGGCAGAGTCCAGGCTTCCCACAGCCTTCCTATTAATCTCACCAGCCCTCCAACTAGCCAAGGGGACTTTATCTTCTTGGTGTTAGATTCCAGCACTGGAGAGCCCAATATGTGGCTCAAACCACTCACTCACCAGGGCAGATCTCTGCCTATGTAATCCCCCTCCTGAGTTCCATCTCAGGGGCACAGGTCTTGACTTGATGGCTTCTTTTCCCTTGACACCAATTCCATGTGGGTATTTCTTACAGCCTTGGTTGTAGAAGACTCTTTCTGCCAGTCTCCAGTTAGTTTTCAGTGAGAATTGCTCCACATGTAGATGTATTTTTGATGTGCTCCTGGAGGGAGTTGAGTTCCGTGTCCTCTCACTCCACCAACTTGATTGTGCCCCCTATTTTGATACATCACTTTTACTTCTCAGGTTCTGTTCAAGCTTTGTTGACATGTATTTCTGAAAGGCCTGGGGGTAGGGAACAAAGACTTGTATAGGTACAAAGAAAATGATCTTACAGTGTCCCATTCAGTGTTTGGTGTTATAAGATAGTACAAAGCATCCCTTTGTTTATATGTCCACGTAAAATTTGAGGTGCCTTGAAGTGATTCTGGAGATTTGAAATGATATTCTGTGTAGATCACTCTGTAATATAGATCTCAAAGCTTAGGACCTGGAGTATATGAAACATTTTAGGGAAATATCTGTACATTGAACCCTGAGCATAAGGAAAGAATCATGCTGACTAGATAGGCTACTTTGTCAAGAATCTAGACCAACAAGGTTTGGTACCAAAGTGGGCGCTACTGTTTACTGTGTGACATGGAAAAGATTCAAAAATTATCTGCAAGAGTTTACTGTAATATTAACTCATAACAATGTTACAGGCTTTTCCCGAGGATCAATAGAGGTAGTACATGAGTACAGCATAGAGACAACATGGTTTAATGGTTTGGGGCTCCAGCTCTGGACTGAGGCTGCCAAGATTAAACCCGCTATACTTTCACTTACTAGTTGTGTGACTTTGAGAAAGTGATTTAATCTCTCTGTGCCTGATTTTCTGATCTAGAAACTGAGGATTGTTTTTGTCTTACAGAGATATGAAAATTAAATGAGATAATGCATGTAAAAAGCCAAGGCAGATACTAGAGTATAATGAATGTTCTGTAGATGTATTTCTTTTCTTTTGTTTCATTTTACATATGAAAATCCTTTATGAAAGGAAGGACTTTATTAATGAAAAATATTATTAGTTAAGACATCTATTAATTCTTATTCCAGTCAGGAATATAATGTGCAATATAATACTTTTTGTCACACCCTGATTAGAAAATATTTTCTCTAAATACTTTTTTTTTAAGTACAAAAATGCATTTAGAATGAGTTTCAAAGGAAGAGTTTCTATTTAAATTTAATGTGATGCAACCACAGGTTTTCTTTTTGGCAACATCTTATTTCATTTTTAGCTTTCACTTAATTCCTTATACTTTATTTTGTGGATTCATTACTATGCAAATACATATGCACTATATTCAAGTACATGCTTTGAGGATTATGTTACGTTATATCATTTCACAAGTAAACAGCTTGCATCCAGTTTTCTCAAATTACAAGTGTTTTATATAGGTTGATATAAGTTACTGAGTCCAGTCAATAACCAAGATCTTTCCTGTGAACTAGGAAAGCACTATACTAATTCTCCACAGGTATTAATGGTAAAAACTTTGTAAAATATCAATTACATTACTAAAAAGATGTATATTGGCTACTGATTTGCATAAAAATATAGCTTAAAATCAACTGAAAATCTATATTATAAGATTATTATGATTGTTCTGATTTTTCAGTTTATAAATTAACTTAAGTTCTCCTTTCTTCATCCTGGTGTTGTTTTTGTGCCGTTTTAAATTATTTGGTAATATCCCCAGATTGTATAAAATAGAAAAGAATTAGAAATGAAAGAAATAATGTTAAAAGCCATTTCATTTTTTACTTTCATCAGGACAGATAAAATGTTGGAAGGGAAAGAGCTAAAACAAATTGTTTTAAAGACTTAATTATTGATTTCATCTTTCAAAGCTTTAGGTAAAGAGGTGTTCAGAAGAGATAGTTATTCAGCCACTTATTCTGAAGCAAAAAAATAGGTTATTTTGCCTTCATTGACAAGACTTCAAATATTAAACACCAGCATATTGAGATTTCTCAGATAGCTCAAAGTTTATTAGAATAGAATGGAATAAAATAAGTCAGAATATGTAAGACGTGTTCTCTTTAGCTAAATAGCAATTAAGTCTTATGAATTACTTTCAAACTGAGTCTTAGTTTCAAACCAAGACTGGCAACATATTTAAAATTAAATAGTTCTGTGGTGATTCTTTTTAATCCTAACAATATGAAGAAATACCAGCATATATTTAAAGTATTTAAAAGATCTTACTGTGTGGACTTTTACTGACTCCTTTTGCCCATTATTGAGAACAGTGTCAGGCACATACTAAATGCCCATTAAATATTTGTCTAATTGAATGAATGTTATTCTTAATAATATTAGGAGTTTTTTGCTTGGGGCTTTTTGTTTATTTGTTTTGTTGTTGTTGAATTTAACCCAGTAAGAATTTACATTCCAGGGAACAGAAATATCTATAAAACTAAATGAGATGATACCACCTATCATTGAAATGTTTCCTCTTTTTGGGTTTCCTTTCCTGTACACACACATAGTACAGCTGTTATTACTACTATTGATAGTAACCTTCAGTTTTCTTTTGCTATGTGAGTAGTGAGCTAAATACTTCACCACAGTTACCTGATTTCATGTTCAAGCTCAGTTTGGGGGATGTTTATATGCAGTATAAATCAGAACACCTTAAATAATTATAAGTAACCTGGTAATATTATCTGTGCTAAACTTAAATGTTTCATACATACATTTTTGTAAATGCCTGGAAAATTAAAACTTAGGGAAGTTATATACTGAATTGTGTCCCTCTTCACAAAATTCCTATGTTGAAACTGTAAATCCTAATACCTCAGAATATGACCATATGACATAGTGTATTTACAGAAGTAATTAGATTAAAATAAGGTCATTAGGGTAGGCCTTAATCCAATATGTCTAACGTCATTAAAAGAAGAGGAGATTTGGACACATAGACGCATACAGGGAAGAGTAAGTGAAGACACAGGGAGAAGATGGCCATCTCTAAGCCAAGGAGAGAGTCTTGGAACAGATCCTTCCCTTATGGCTGTCAGAAAGAACCAACTCTGCTGACACTTTGATCTCAAACTTCTAGCTTCCAGGCCTGTGAGAAAATAAATTTCTGTTGTTTAGCTACCCAGTCTGTGGCACTTTGTTACAGCAGCCCTAGTAAACTAAAACAGAAATAAATGTCATTATATAAATGACTCATGTTTAAATTTTTCATTTTCTTATAGTGTTTTCTCTTCCTTAACCTAGTTCCAGATTAAGGAAGCTGATAGAATACCGCTTTTTTGTTCCAGTGTGTAGAATTTTCCATTTTTTCTGACTTTCTGCTCAGTTACTGGCAGATCTATGCAAAGTTAATGTGATGGCAGTGGCTTGCACATACAGTAAGTGACATTATCAAGGAGTCAATAAAATGACACAGTTTTTTCAAATGTAATACCAATTTTGGGATATAAGAACATTGTTAATACAATAGAAGAACCATTAGCACATACAACAGCTTTGCTTTATTAACATCACTGTTCATGTTAGCAATTTTGATCTAATTTAAGTGATGTCCCCATTATGGTGGCAAATTGTGTTTTCATTAATACAGTGGAAAAGCCATTAATATGAAAATTGCTCATTCAGAATCATATTAGTGAAGTGCTTATCTTATTATCACCAAGCCAATTCTAACCTAGGTGCTAATAAGCAATCTGAGTTGAAGCATCCCATAGCAAAGGCATCATCATACTGCTTTAGGAGGCTCTTATTGGCTTTCTTATGGTTTCTTGAAACCTTTTACTGCATTATTTAAAAAGTTATGTAAATTAATGTCAACACTGTTGTTAGTTTATTTCTGAATCTTATTCTATAAATTTTATATAAAGACACATACATCCTACAACTTCACATTTGGATATCCTAATTACATCCCTGTGTATCTTCAGAATATTAATAAGTAGTGTGTATAGGTTTGGGTTCCTTTGTTTTAAGCAACAGAATATAACTACCTTATGCAAAGAAACATACTGAAATGGCTATGTGGGAGTTCACAGAATAAACAGGTGGGACTTGCTTAGAATTAGGAACAGATTTCTAGAGGGCTCTAGAAAGTGAACCAGACCAATGATCATTCTAGCAACAATGGTTGGGTCAGTTTGCTCTGTCAGAATGAATATTTTCATCCTTCCTCCTGTTTTTGTATCAATCCACAGGCCTCAAGTCCTGTGGCAGATAACCTGAATAACTTAGCTTAGGTTCTGCGTCTGGCTGCCTGTTATACTAGGGTAACCGGGAGGGTCTGTTTACTTTTGTATCTATCCTGTAAGACCACACGAAATATGGGAGAGGAAATCTTACCCCACTAATAACTGTGGTGCTATTGAGAAAGAAGTAATTGGAATGTAGTCAAAAACATCCCACTGTAGTTATCAAATATATGATGAGTATTCTACCTTATAGGGAAACTGTGGTAGACATTACTTCTACTCATAATTACCTGGCTCTCTGAAACTTTCATCCTCTGGAATCACGGCCATATGAGTTGTTTCAGCCAAGGATATGTGAGCAAATGTGAGGTGTGTTTCACAACTCCATCTCAATTTTTAATTACCGGTGCTCAACTCCTCAATTTTCCTTTCGCTACCACTAAAACCAACAACCTTGCAGATGGTAAAGCCTCTGTCAGCTGGGGTCCTAGAAAGCAGCAATGTAAAGTAGAGGTCTTCACTAAAGGTAGTAACATACAACAAAAACAAAAAACAAACATTGTCAAAGTCACAGATATATTGTGGGTTTTGTTACCCAGCCTATCCTGGGGACATATGTGGTATGGCAGAAGGAATGTAAATATTGTTAAAATATAAGCTCTGATTGTTATTGAATATGTGACCCTGGGGAATTTTTAAAATTTCTCTGTGTATCTCTTTCTTCATTTATAAAGTGGGAGAATAGTTACCAACAGCATGGGTAGGATGTTATGACATTACCTACAGCCTACAGAGTAAGAAGAAAAGAAGGCTAAAGTCAGAACACTGGGAAATATCAGTAAAGTAGTAGGAAAAATTAGTTGTTTAAGGAGACTGGAGATGAACAACTAGAGAGTTAAGAGTAAAACTAAGAGAGGAGAGCTACAGAATAAGAGAAAAATGCTTCAGAAACAACAAGGTATGAAATATGTCCATAATATGACAACTAAGAGATAATCGATGACTTTATCAATAGCAATAGACTACTTTGTATTTGTTCCAAGAGGGTACGAGGTACTTTATATTAA